CTCTTTCCTGTGCTTCTGCTTTTGACCACTCTTGGAGGATACTAGCCTAGATGGATCTTTTGCTTTGATCCAGTACAATTTCTCTTCTGTCCCTTCAGAGTTTAATTTGGTATGTTAAATGAGGGGAGCAAGTCTGTTTGGCTAACTTAATGAAAGGCAAAGATTTTCTACTTTTTATTTTTTTGTTCCAGACCTCCTTGTACATTAAAAAAGTATTGGTATTATATTTCAAGGAAAAATGTGATTTCATTACTCTCTTTGGCCACTTTCAGGCTGAGGTTATTCAATGCCTGCTTCGCTTATTGTCTGTTAATCTCATCTGCAGGTGGGCAAAGATCTATTTTGTAACCTGGTGGTTGATCTCCTCTGTCATCTGGGTTAATCTCTTTGTAGCTTTACTTCTGGAGGTAAGGAAGTCTGTTTATTTGGTATTAGATCATGAAGACAGGTTCTAATTTGTGTGGGAAATGAAAAGAACCCAGACAACTGTTTTGGAGAAGTATGTTGGTTTCGTGTTGGTTTTTGCTTATTTCATCTTTCTCCTTGCTACCTTTCCCCTGAGATGGTCAGTGAGCATTTTCTTTTTCCTAGACAATTGTGTATTTTATTTGCAACTTTCTCACAAATCTGGTTACATTTCTTTGGGTGTGTATGTCTGCCATTATAGCTCCCTCTCTATAAAGATGAGAAATACTTTATTATAAAATTGCTTGTCTCTTGTACATTAGCATTTAACTTCAGCATTAGTTATTCAAGCTGCAGACTTTTTGCATTTTGATTTGTCAGCAAGTGAAGTTAGTGCTTTAAAATTTACATTTTAATTTTATTTGGTTGTCCCATGTTTCTTCCTACCCCAGTTTGAATTATTACCCATATTCAGTTCCACACTAGAAGAATGGAACTGATTACTTATTTTGAAGAGATCATCTTCTAGAGGTTTTTTTAAAGAAGCTCTGGAAAGGTTGAGCAATGCACCTAAGCAATGCCATGAAGAATTGCATGCCTGTAGAGGGCACTTCACCCCATCTCAAAACCTGTGAAAATTTGTTTTGGAGATGTTCTTGTTGTTGTTGACTGCATTGAGAGCTAAAATTTACTACTGTGGGCAGAATGGTGAACTTTTAGACAGAAACTTAGATACAAGTCTCATGCTGAGCCTCAGTCTTGCCCGTGAGCGTTTCAGAAAAGACTTTCTGTTCTAGCTGAATGTTAATCCTATGAAATCTTCTACCTGCTTACATCCGCAGGGCTGTAGCCAAAGTTTTGCTGTAAGAGCCAAGATGTAGCATGCTGTAGCAGGACAGCAGGATGCCACTATTTTTCTCCCCCCCCCCCCCCCTTTTTTTTTTTGTTTGCCTGAGCTCTCTGTCTACTCCCTAGGTATTGATTTGTCAGAGTAATTAAAAATGGATAAGGGAACATGACAAAACCAGAAGCTGAGTTTAAGCTGTGATGCCGGGACTAGGAGTATATTTATATATTGTTGGGTTTTTAGAGAGGAAAAATTCAAAGCAGGTGAACTCTTGTGGGTAGTTCACACAGTTATCTCGGGGAGGCAGTCCTTGTTAGGAGCAGAAGGCAGCAGGGCTGTCTTCTGCTCTATGCTTCTCTCAATGGGTGATGAAAAAGTCATTTCATTCCTGAACAACAGGTTTGAATAAAATAGTGACCTGCAGCCAATAAATATGCTGATGCCTAAATAAGTCCCTGCTCTGCCACTCTGTGTTTAAAAACAAACCTCGCTCCCCTCCCAAACCTTACCTGCAAACATACTGACCTAATATAACCTTTTTTCTCATGTCAACAAAAGTAGCCTTTAATTTTTTTTCCTGTTTCTTTTACATTCCAGAATTTTATTCACAAGTGGGACCGTCGCTGTCATCGAGAGCCTCTTTCGGATATTGAATACCAGAGGACAGTTGAACTAATGTTCAGGTGAGTTGAACTAGACTTGGTAACTGATCTAGTTTTATATGTTCAGCTGTTTTAAAGAAAGTGTGCTGGCTGCAAGAGGGTAAAAGGCTTGCGTCTTGTTTCTTCCCTCTGAAGCAAACTGTTTCATCTGTTTGGAAAAATTCACTGAGTAGTGTAGTTAAGTCTGCTTTAAGCTGACTTGGTAGCCTAACCTTTATGTGCTTTTTGCCCATAGTATGATGGGAGGTGTTGGGGGTGTGAGGGACACGAAGACTGTGTTGAGAGGGAAAAGAAAAGGGAAGATGAGGAAAGCAATGCACATTCTTGGCTTATCGTGAAATTGTGGGTGGTGACTTGATACTTGATGATCATGTGCAAGTGGAACTTCTGGTGCACATTGGATATTCAATAGTAGCATTGGGAACATGTTCTCATTTGGGAGTTTTTTCAGGAAAACAAATCTACTGACCTTCAGTTGTATTGTACTGAGCGCAGGAAATTGCTTTCCTGCTTCTTATGGGAAAACAGCTGCTGGTTTCCATGACACATCTGTAAAGGATGGATCACTTGCAAGTAGATGCATCTTTAGGGAGCATCAACTTATTGTAACTTTAATTCCTTGTTTCATTCTTGAAACAAGCACACGCTACATCTCAGTATGTGCATTGCAAAAACAAATGCTGAGAAGTTCCCTTTGCTGCCACTAACAACTCATGCTTTTTCTTTGTAGAGATGTTTTGGAAGAACCTACAGAGGAAGAGCTGATGGAAAAACTGCTCCAGCATCCACACCTGCAGTTATGTAGGTGACTGCTGGGAAGGACTGCTTTATTTAGACCTCTGTTTTCTTGAGGTTGTCAACTGGAAGAAACTGAATGGATTTTCTGTGAGGTGCTGTTAGGAGAGAGGCTTGTAGGACAGTACATGAGGTTTTGCTTGGCAATTCTCTGCAGAAAGAGTTTTTTTTATTTTTGGTTCATATCTTTTTATTTTTGAAAAAGATTTGAATCCTGCTAATTTGACTTGATTTTAAGTTGCAATTTTAGAGGAATATTGCAGCTGTTATTTTTATAAACTGTTGATATCAGGATGTTTTATTTTCTTTTTTAAGAAGGGAAAGTGTGTTTAAGATGACAGTGCACTTTAAAACATGAACTTTGTAACCACTAAGCCTGCTACTTTTTTCAGCACAAGAAAATGGAACTGGCTTTTCTGGTAGGTGAGTGTGGCAAGGACTGTGCCCTGCGATTCATGAATGGATTAGGCAGGACCAGGACAAAATCCTTAATCTTTTAGTAGTAAGAATTGAAACACTATTTTTATTGAAATGTGACACCAGCATATATCACCAGATTTTCAGTAGTTAATCACTTCTGAACACAATCAATTTCAACTTAGTAACAGGGAGTGTCTACTTCACGCATCCTCTCTTTTTTTCTTTTTTTTTGATCTAGGGTTTGTGCTGGTTGCATCATGGTGGTAGCTTTGAGAGCAGTTATAACTTTGGAGCAATTGCACTCATGGTTTTCAATGTGGTACAATTGAGCTCTCATTTACAGTAAATATTCTCATATTGCTTTCCTTTTCCTCTCTTCCAAGTCCTGCTCTACACTATACCATATTCCATGAAAAAGCTGAGGGGAATGAACTTTGGCTGGAATGTAGCACCACGATCGCTGCGAGTCTCCCACTTAAAGGGGGGAAGATTGAAAGGGATAATCAAAGTGCCTAGGGGTTCGGATTTGCATTTGAGTCTATGGGAATTGAAAGTGCTAAGCCAATACTGCAAGATCACATTCTTTTATGGCTCAATGACCACGTGCTGTATACCGCAAGCTTTCACGTGGGTAATGCTTTTTGGGTAGATAACTTTGTCAACAAATCTAAAGCGGAGAATTAAAAGTAAGCCATTATTCCTTAGTATTCCTCTAAAAAAAGGTGGTTTTGTTTGAATCTTTGTCACATAACTAGTAAATCACTATGAAGAATAGAATCAATCTCAACTACTATTTTTATATATAAAAATGAAACTACCCTTTGGGGTGCTGCCTTGTCATTGAGACACTTGTCACCAAAAAGACATTATTGTGATCATCTCTGTATTGACAAAGGCTTGGGGAAGGTAATTGGCCATAAAACACTGCTGCTATTTATAACTTATTTGATCCTTTTTAGAAGACAAAACATTTTTGAAAAGTGCCAAGCAGGCATCTTGTATGCTTTTCTTTCTCTTATTTTTCTTCGTCATTTTGTCTTTTTCCTGCATAAGGGAGAAAAAAACATCTGGGATGATGGCGCGTTTGGGCTCAAAAGCGTATTTTCTGCATTGTTGTCTTACTGTTTAGAGCTTGCATAGTGATTCTTGTGTATTTCTTTATTTTCTGCTTATATTTTCCTTGTGCTGTGGGACAAAATATGTTGTAGTTTCCATATGTGTAGAAAAAAATCTGAACTGAGCTCTGAGGCACTGCAGCAATCTTTCCTTACTTTTGTAATCTCGCCTCTTAAGCGATGCTCTTGTCTCTGTTCCAGAAAAATCCACCCAGTAACTCACTTGCACTGGTTTCAGTGGCATTACCATGCTTATTTTCAGTCATGCACTTAGACCACACATCATAGCGAGTAGATAAAGACATCAGCACAAAGCTTTTCTAGACATGACTTTGGTTTTTTTCAGTATGGTTTTATGTCAGGATTGTTTCTGCTTCTAGGATGATGTAATCACTACCACCAATTTATTGGCACTTACTAACAGTTCAATACTCTATTTTACCTTATTTATTGAAATTCTTTTTTCCACTTTTCTAAATACTTGCCTTGCCAAAAAGGAGGTGGCTGGTTCTTATCTGCCTGTAAGTTTAATATTTTTTGTCTCTCTTTTTTTTTTTTTTTTTTGGCATTACATTCCACTACAATCTACCAAAGCAACACAAACTGGTGTGGGATTATCATAAACATCACAAATGTCCCCATTATACATTCTTTGCATCTGGACAAATGTGAAGAAGGCTATCTGAAGGCAATAGTCTTGTTCTTGTTTCACACTTGTGTAATTGACTGAAAGCGTAACTAGAATTTAATACAAAATTGTGATACCTAATGTCACTTGTACTGAAAGATATAAATGACCACAAGTCTTATGCAATAATTGTATAAATCATGAAAATGAATGTATGTAACTGGGTTAAATTTGAGGTTTGCATTATTAAAAAAACTTCCTTCTCTTTCTTAAAATATGAAAATAATTGGGGTGTTGCAGTAATTCTTGTAGCTTGTTTTTTCCCTTCCCCCAGCTACTGATTTCTGCTGGGCTCAGCATCTGTGCTCCTATTATCTTTACTAGTTGAAGGCTGGTCCATAGAAGAGGTTACATGCAGATGGGGACACCACTGCCCGGTGTCAAAATGCAGGGACCTAAAGTACGCTGCTCTGTTATTCTCCAGTTCTAGAGACTTGTAACATGATCTGTAGGTACTTGATATGCTGAATTTTTAAGGTGAAACTTCATTGGAACTGAGCGTTGAAGGTGTTGAGCAGCTTGATTTCCATTTGCATTTCAGTCTTTGTGTACTAGGGGTATTTCTTCATCTCTTTTTCCTGAAAATAATAGTGCAATAAGCACTCTCATAGCATTTCAGCTGGGACAAATTTTGCACATAATGCAGCAGAGTCCATGGCATTATTTTGAAACAAGTTCTGTTTTAGAAGACTTTTTTTTTAAGAACAAAATTGACTCTGGGTCAAGCTAAAGGCTTAAAATTGCTGATGTCTCTGACAATGGGTGTAGTGGATGCTCAGGTGAAGCATGTGAAAGCCAAAGCAAATAGAAGGTCATCTTGCATTATTAAATCAGGCTCAGATTTTTCTAGCTTCTGAAGGAGGACCTTAATCACCAGACTGCTGGCTAATTTGAGATTCCTGAGATTTTTTTTTTCCTTCCTGAGTTGCTATGAATTTGTATTACTTAAAGATTTAGGAGTAGAGGGAGAGGATGGAGGCGATTGAAGTGTTCTTGATTCTTTAAGTAGAAATACAGTGATAAACCTCACAAGGACAGTTAACTATGAAGAAATTTAAAAAGCTTATATTGGTCAGACCTGCAAATAGGGCAGGCAGAAGAACCTAGTAACTATGTAGAAATTACAGACAAAGGAAGAAATACTCTTCCGAGTGTCAAGGGCTTATGTGAATAAACCTATTTGTTGTGGTAATATTGTACATCTCTTGATACATTTTAAGCTACATTACTTTTTCATAACCCCCAACACTTTTTAATATGCACAAAAATACAGGGGCATACAAAGCTATAAGAAAAAAATGGGGTCTATAGGAAACCGATGCAGTGTATAGATTAACTATCTCTGAAACGTGAGGTAAAGATATTTCTTATCTTGTTAGATGGTTTATCTTTTCACCTGCCAGTATATCACGAGCAGTATGTAGTGTTACTGTGGCTTCTGCTATTGTTTAACATTGCTTTAGTCAGATGATGTCATTTCAGTACTCCATGTCTTGGCTTTTTATTGAAAACAAAGTAAAAATAGGTGTCTGCCTGCTTTTATTTATGTAGGTGGTGATGATTTTTCTTTCACTAGATTTTTGTCTAATTAAAAGCCCATTCAACTGATGGGAGTTTTCCACAAATCAAATGGGTTACACTTAATCTGCAGTCTTTATAAACATTCAGAGCTATTTGTTATGTGAACTCTGGGTAGAAATAATTAGGGAGGAGGGGTGGGAGCGATAAGATTTGGTTTCTGTTCCAAATCTAAGCACTTCACTGTATAGGGCATTGTTTCAAAATGACCTTGATAAATTTTACTTTGATAATTTTGGCAATTTCCTCTAGTTTAAGAGATAAATATGGACTATTACAGTTTAGAAACATAAAATGTGGAAGTACATAACAGAGTAAGAGAAGACAAATATTTTAAGGCTTACGGTGTACTATAAATTGAACAAGCTAACAGCATCTGAAAGAGATCAAAAGAAAATTGCTGTAATTTGTAATAGCACTTCCCTTTAGGCCCTGCTGTTCCCATTTTGGGCCCTGCATTTTAAAATAAACAGCTGGGGGGAGGCATTTGTTATAGGACAGTTACAGCGATCTAAAGAAATTTGGAAGGTGTGAGTTGGGAAGAACTTTGAAGGAAATAATTTGTTCAGGCACATAGTTTTTTAAACTATTCAAGTACGTAAACAGTTGAGAGAAGCGAACTGTTTACGCTGTGTAATCTCTGTGTGCCTGTTGTAGGACAAGTTGTAGTTTGGATTTCATCAAAAAGAGTTGCTAGATATGAGAGATGCTTCCTAATTCGCAGGAGGTCACAGACTCCCCTTTCACTGGAATGCCCTTTTAGGATGGGTTTGACAGTCACCTGCTACAGCTTTGTCTGGATGTTTGTGAACCTGCCCCTGCTTGGCGATGCCTCAGCTGGTCCCCGAGATCCTGTCCCGCCTACCTCTCTGTGGTTTCACTGGAAAGAATTCCCATGGCTGTAACAAACCTTGCTTTTGTTGTTACAGCATGTGCTGTGGGTTCTAGCTAATGGCTTACAAATGTTTACAGCGTGCAAGTATTTTATAAGTAGGTATAGCAAAAAAAATATGCTCCTTCAGCTTCCCATTGTAAACGGGAAGATGAGATTTAGTCGTATGTGCTCTGTTGCTAATACTCAACCAGCATCTCCTGGTCCCTACGCTCTGCCCCATATTTCTTCAAGTTCTCTTTACTAGGTTCCCCTTAATTTCATTTCTACATCCCTTTTTGGGCAAGAGGAGGAACGTGCTGCCCTTCTTCCAGTTCGTGT